ATAACACTGAATTGAATGACCAAAAAGAGTGACAGTGATACAAGGATGAAATGAAGGAATGGTGATTTCGTTATTATAGGGAATACATACTGCCTGTGAATCAGTACAATGTTATTTCAAATCTGACTTGGATCGGTTATTTAATCTAATTAAATGTCTGTTATAAACTCTAGAACGACCTATTAAATCAAGAAAAATTGACACAGTATAACCATGATGCTAAGACAAGAAACAGAATCACATAAAGTACTCAATTAAAACCACAGAAAAACCAAAGAAGTGGAAGACAAAAATAAGAATAAAGAACAAGGGCAACAAATTGAAAAGAATAAGAAACTTAGTAGATATTCATCCAACTGTAACAGTTAATTATTTTGAATGTCAATGGTACAAATGCACCAATGAAAGATGGAGATTATGGGACTGGATCAAGAAATGAGACCTAATTTTACGTTGTCTGCATGACAACTACTTTAAATACAGTAACATGTATAGATTAAAGGTAAATGGATAAATAATAACTTATATCATAATAATACTAATCAAAAAGTAGTACAGTTTTATTAATTCTAGTCAGAGCAGACTTCATTGAGGAATGCTGGAAGGGATAAAGATGGAGGCCAGCAGATGGTATAGTGGTTATGTTGCTGGACTCTCACATGGCCAACCATGGTTCGAGTCCTGAACCCAATGACTTAAACTCACGCCGGGCGTGTGTGCATGCATGCCCAAGATCCCAGAAGAATGAATTGTGGCATGACCATCCCCCCTGGAGGGTGAGTTCTCAGTTCCTATCTTACTGTCTCCATCTTCCTCTAGTAAGCACACATGCTCTAAGGCAAAAAAAATAAAAATAAAAAAGACCTCTATAAAACTGACATAATGATAAATTGGGCTGTTATCCAAGAAGACAAAATAATTCTTAACTTGTATACGTCTAATAAATAAAGGGCATCAAAATATGTAAGGAAAAGTGACAGAACTGCAGGGGGAAATAGATGAATCCACTATTGTAGTTTGTCCAACATTTGCAAAGCAGCTAATGTACTCCATCATGCCAACAGACTAAAGAAGATCATAGGATGATATTAACAGGTGCAGAAAAAGTATCTAACACCTGTTCATGATAAAAAGGTTTTCAGCAAACTAAAAGCAGAAGAATAGGGAATATCTTTATCTTCAAATTAATAAAACAAACTGCCATAAATCTACAACTAGGGTTATAATTAACATTGGGGAATTCAAAGTTAAGATCAGAAACAAGGTAAGGATACTCCCTTTCACAGGGTAGTTTTAACTGGTATGTATTTAACTAAATATGTACAATGTGTGTATGAGGGATACTGTAAACTTATGATGAAAGAAATAAAAGAACTAAATAGATAGTCCATGTTCATGAATAGGAAGACTCAATATTGTTAAGGTATCAGTTCTTCCCAACTTCAGTTACAGATTTAACAAACTCCCAAGCAAATGCTTAGCAATAATTTGATAGATAATGACAAACTGATTCAAAAGTTTGTATGGAGAGGCAAAAGACCAGAATAGTCAACACGATACTGATGGGCAAGAACAAAGCTGGGAGATTGACACTTGGCTGATTTCAAGTTTACAGTAATCAAGACAGTGTGATAGAAGGAAGAGAATGGATAAAGAGAGCCCAGAAATAGACCCATACAAATATAGTAAACTGATACTTGACTTAGGACAAAACCAATGCAATGGAGAAAAGTCTTTTTCAACAAATGGTATTGGAGGAATGGACATCTACGTGCAAAAAATAAATAAATCTAGACACAGGTCTTACCCTTCATGAACGTTAATTCAAAATAGATCACAGTCCAAAGTTTGAAATGCAATATTATAAAATTCCAATAAGATAATGGAGGGGAAAATGAAGACAGCTTCATATTGAAACTGAGCAAGAACCCCCTATGTATTTTGTAGGGTTCCTGAAATATAAAGTCCATTTGCATTGTAATGGCCCAGAGTAAGGAGTAAGTTTTCAGACTTTGGTTATGATAATGACCAACATGGACTATGAGTAAAGGCCATTTGACCTCTAAAACACTCACTTAAAGGAAAGAAGGTTTTCATTTCAATATGTAAGATGTTTTGTAGACTGGAAACTGCTGGTTGTGAGCTCAGAGACTCCAGGCTGAATGGTTCCAGACACCTGAAGAGGAATTTGATTATCTAAGGCCTCACCAATCAAGAATGTCCATGAGATGATCACGTCCTCTTGAACCAATCACTGAACTGATCATGTGCCTGGGACCTCTGCCCCTAATTTTGCCCTTAAAAACGCATGTGGGGAACATCTCAGGGAGACCAGGTCTTTTCAGTACGAGCTGCCCTCTCTCCTTGCTTTGCGCTTTGCAATAAAACTGTACTTTCCTTCATCACACCATGTGCCTATGGCTTAGTTTTATAGCGCTTGGGCGAACGAACCTGATTTGAGTTCAGTAACAATATTTGTTGGTAATTTTATATATAATACCAAAGGCACCATCCATTAAAGAAACAATCAATAAGGTGGAATTTATTAAAATTAGAAATTTTGGCTCTTAGATAGACATTGTCAACAGAATAAAAGATAAGCCACATACTGAGAGCAAATATTTGCAGAAGACATAGGAGAAAAAAAAAAAAAGTGTTAACCAAAATAAGTAGAAATGCTAAAACTTATCAGTAGGGGTGGACTTCAAAAAGTTTGTGGAAAATTCAATTAAAGTACAGGTTTCTTTTGGTGCAAAAGAATTTTAAATCCATGCATAGCTTTTTCATAATACACATTCTCCATGAACTTTATGAAGACCCCATATGGAAACTAAAACCCCAATTAAACAATAGCAGAGGTAATTTGATATTGCCAGTGTTATCCATGGGGGTATTATTTTCCTTTATTTTATAGAGGGAGAAGCTGACTTTAAAGAATTCAGTAACTCACCAAATGTCATAGTCTCTCAATGCTATTCTTTTTAAAATGATAGTAGCATGCACAGCAGAGAGAGAAAGACGTGCCCGTGTCTCCAGCTTCCCAGCATCTGGGCACACCCAGTGTGCTCAGCATGTTTCTAAGCTGAACCAGGGATCTCAAACAAGAATAAGTCGTATTCAGTGCTGGCAGGTTACTAAGAACTAGTAAAAACAAATAAGTATAAGTAATTGCATACATAACACATGCTACATTAAGTAGAATTCTACGTATGATATAGTTTGTAGTCATTTGGATTTATCCTGTGTTTCATGTGTAAGAGTTTGTTAGCTCATGTAAAAATGTTTAGAGTTAAGTGATCAACTGTAAGGGCAGCTAAAAGTTCATGGAGAATGAAAGTGAAGTCTGAGCTTATTTTGCTATACAAAATATTAAAGTCCACATGCAGCTTTTTCATACCGTATATTCTTTAGGAACTTTGTGAAGACCCCTTGTACCACATCGCTGTCAGTGACTGGTGGTCGTGTTCCTAATTAGCCAAGAAGAATATAGAACTGAGCCGTTCACCCCCTTCACCAGCATTTGAGTGTGTGCTGTGCTTCGGAAGATTGAGAAATTGACCAGGAGCTGAAGGTAAACTCTGCTTCATAACCTTAATGTACTGATCTTTTTTTGGTAGTAAGGCTAAGAGTCAATTTCAAGAGCTGTGTCAATGGCTGATACAAAATAAGTAACTGACCTGAGCAGCTGGAGAAGGGGGAAGAGCAGCTGCCCAGGACAGGAGACAGCAGCTGCCCGGGGGAAGAGCAGCTGCCCGGGGGAAGAGCAGCTGCCCGGGACAGGAGACAGCAGCGGTGCGGGGCAGGTCTCTTCACTGAGGTAACAGACTTGGGAATTACCAGGGAAGTTAAGTAAAGGGAGTGGCATCTGTCTAAACCAACAGGAGACAAATAGAAGGCAAGCCCATGGAAGATACCTATCCTTTAGAGAAATATCTCAGGAAGAGGCCAGAAGACGGAGGTCTGTCCACAGTTCCCACTTCAAGCAACCTACCGTCTAGGAAGAGGTAGTTCAGACAAGTCCAAAGACAAACATTAGACAAGAACGGGATATCCCCAGAGGGATGCAGACTAACAGCTAAGGAAAAGTTAAGAGAGAAGCACTGGCAGATATTTAAAGCCAGGAAGGCACCTTGTTGAAAGAATGAGTGTGTCTGATCTGTATAAGGAACAGCTGGAGCTCGGGACCACCCTGGGAGGGCTTTACACGCCCGGCTGAGGTCCTGTGCCCCAGAGTTTAATAGGTAAGGGGAGTAATAGGGTGATGGCCATGCGAATTCATGGCTGCACACGACATTGGGCTTTTCCACCCTTCCCATTAATTGTTCAGTCTGGTATCTGCCATTTATCCTTTCTTCTGGACTGGCGAAATACACTCACAATTTATTCTAACTCAAACATTGTAGTTGTGAATTTTGCAGTAAGGTAATAGTAAGGATTCAAATTTTAAATACTTTAAAAAATATCTATTCATAAAATAGAAGTGAACTTTCCAATGAGTTAAAAACAGCATGGTTACTACATCCCAGAATACAGAACATTTTGCATGGGGCAGAGCAGAAAATCATTCATTTGATTCATCTTCTTCAACTCATAATTACAGGGAGAATGGATAGATATAAAATGTATTTTGTAGGAATTTTATTCAGATTTAATTAGAGAATAAAATAAAGATAAAATAGAGTCAGAACTTTCAAGCTATTTTAAACTATTATTTAGAATGTAAGACCACCGAGTGACTGTTTTAGTTCCCAGAATGTTATTTTTGTGTGATGCAAATGGCAATTTATAAGGAGAAAAAGTAAGAAATGCAATTACTTCTGTGCAATTTAACTTGTTATGGCTTTCAGTGAAAATTTGCTATTCAAATCTTAAAGCTTGGTCCTGAGACATAGCTCAAGGTAAGCAGAAAGCATGTCTGGTCTCCCTGGTTCTTCCCCCTCGCTTTCACAAAGGCGTTGATGTGGTTGGGGTGTGTAGTGCCGTGTGCCTCTTGGGCTTACCTTTGCTTCAATCTGTTTGGTATCTGGATTCTGAAACAAAAATTTGATTTTGCTCTTCCCATCATCTGAAGAACCTTTGAGCTGAGAAAATTTATACCTCCAAAGTACAGCCTAAAGGGGAAACAAAAAACATAAGGGAGTCAGCAAAATTAATATCTGCATGTGTACCAAGAAATAGTTTAAATGGAAAAAATTAAACAGAGTTGGCACTATGACCCATTATTTAAAAATGTTTTTAGTTTAGACACATGCCAAAGAAAAAGCCCTCTGTATTTACTTCCTGGTATAGAAGGATTTAGAACAGAGAAAAGAAATCATAATAGACAATTCTACTTATCACCAGCTTCACAGTTTTGATATCTTCTTTTTATTATTTAAAAAAAAAAAACAGATATTTGTTACTTTCAGCTATTGAAAGTAGTGAATTAAAATGTATTTGGGAAAGATGATTGTGTATAGATATTTCAATTCCCCCAAAATCATTGATACTCCTGAAGCAATTATTGTAAAATATATACAAAAAGAAATTGCTGTCAGTCTCCTACCTTGTGTAAACATGAAATAAGACTATTTCTTTGTTTTTTATCAATAGAAATGATGAGCTGATTTTAAGTAGATAATTATGGCGCCTTCTCCTGAAGCTCAAACTAAGAACCTGTGACTTCCTTAAGATATCCTCTCAGCTTGAGTAAACAATTACGACAAACACTTACATGGTGCTCTTAGAAAACTGAACTAAAGTGAGTATTTCATAGAGCCATCCCCATCAGTCCGTAACCTTTGAGAGCAGGCTCTGCTGAAAAGATTCCACTAATGCAGCACTCCGTAACTGAAGTTATGAATATGTTTTTTGAAATAATAGAAAGAGATGCGAAGTTGAAGTTGGTAATAGCAGAATTGCCTGTTACAATTTCTATTCTTTCTATATCATACATTCTTTTTTTTTTGAAAGTAAATACAGAAGTCTTTTTCTTTGACATGTGCTTAAACTAAACACATAATGCCCAAAGTCAAATACCAAATATAAAAATCATTGAAATGGGAAATGATGTGTGTGTGTTCAAACACGGTCATCCGCCATATAGTTTTATTTTCAATTATCTTAACATGTGTGTCTCATTAAATATATGATATAAACAAATCCTCTTAAGTGTTTATGGTTTCAAATATTTTTAAAAGACTGTTTATGGTGGTTTCTAAGTAGATTCAGAAAGCATGCCTGATAGAGCTGAGGTTTTTCCAAGTGCAGTCATGTTTAAGCTATCGCCTCTGGGAAGAGTGGAGAAATAGATATAAAATATGCATCCCAGAGCTCTTTCAGAATAAAATGCAATAGGAAAAAATCTAAGTAAGATTAAGTACACATATGAACACATCCATATTGTATTATAAAGAGTAAGTTATAAACATACTATGAAAATGAGTTGATTTTGCCAGTGACCCTGAAGACCTAGCTTCTCAAAGGCCTTAGTTTCTGTAAGCAGATTCTGCAATGAGAAATTACTGTGCCCTTGCCCAGCAAAACAAAAATAAGCCCTGGTAAAATGCCTGTGTTCCTCCAAGATGATGTCACACTGGCACCAAGAAAATGAGACTATTAAAGGTTACAGAAGATGTATTCCAGGGCAAATGAACACGAGTATGTAAATACTCATCTCCAATCAATGGCTGCTTGGTATTCACATTAAATGCTCATCTCCAACCAATGGCTGCTTGGTATTCACATTAAATGCTCATCTCCAACCAATGGCTGCTTGGTATTCACATGTAAATGCTCATCCTCAACCAATGGCTGCTTGGTATTCACATGTAAATGCTCATCCCCAACCAATGGCTGCTTGGTATTCACATGTAAATGTTCATCCCCAACCAATGGCTGCTTGGTATTCACATGTAAATGCTCATCCCCAACCAATGGCTGCTTGGCATTCACATTAAATGCTCATCTCCAACCAATGGCTGCACGATATTCACATGCATACATTTTTCTCGGGGTAACATTTTCATCTCAGATATCCCAGGTTTATAATTAGTAGAACTACCTGTGGTAGACATCTAGCAAGTGGTTTCAATGGTCAAAAGGAATGATGACATTTAAACTACAAGTTTGACCTTCAATTCAATATTTTTTTCCTTTGTCAGTATGTTACAAGAAAAAGAAAGCTACTTTGTATTTTAGAAAAATGTCTTACAAACTAGAATTTTTTGTGCTTAAATAATTGCATTAGTTATTACAACTAATAATCAATCAATGACAACACAATAAATACTCTTTTCATACGATTCATCAAAGGAGTACTAGTGACATTAGAACTAAGAAGAAAATTCTACAGAAATATAAAGACCATATAAAATAATAGAATTTGTGTCATAGGATAGAAACAATGTCATTATTTAATTCACTTTACTTGAATACACTGATCTGAAAGAAGAACATGATAAGCAAGAACCCCACATCCCGGCTGACTTTATATCTGCTCTTAAATACTAATTTCCATACACCAGTATATTTTAAAAAGTACACACACACACACAAACACTTCTAGCTGTGTAGACTATATTTTTTAGGCATACTTAGCTTGACAAATGTGAAGGCATATGTGTGGCATGTTCAAGGAAAGGTTTAAGAAAAATGGTTCCAATTAGTGCCTCCCTTCAGGAAGCCTTGACATAGTACTATAGCATAACTCTTTTCTGGTCAAAGCCAATGCTTTCTGCTCTCCCTTTTTCAGGAGACAGTTTTCCAATTTATATAAGCCTACAGCGTATTATAATACTTTCGCAGATTTGTAGCTGCAAGAATACCTGAGGGGGTGCTACCCTGGAGCAAATTTTTTTAGTGAAACTTATTTCTTACTAGATCAAGGTTCCCTCCAGAAGTCTTTAAGGTGATTGGACTGAAATCCATCTTCCGACAGTGTCCAAGCAAATTCAGATAGCATATAAAAAGTGTAAGAGCAAAAGCACCCATTAAAAAGTATCTGTGCACTTATTGTTTGAATATATACTGACAAGGAAACCAACTGACAAGACTAAAGATTATTTTGCAGAGAAAAGAATTTCATTTATTTAATTTTAGGTTGACAGATCAATTGAGACAGTAATTAGAATTCCTATGCACCCTACCTTCGGTCTGCCCTGCTGTGAGCATCACTCATTAGGATGGTGCATTGTCTAGTCCTGAGGGGTCCACATTGGCATATTATTACCTGGAGTCCGTTCAGGTTGACTTCCTAAGTTTTAACCTAACACCTTTTTTGGTCACAGGATCACATTACTTTAATTCATTCTGTCTTTTTTAAAAAAAATTTATTTATTCATTCATCTATTTCAGTTTGACCAGACACACACACACACACACACACACACACACACACACACACACACACACATGCACAGAGAGTGAGAGAGTGAGAAAGCAAGCCACCAGGTGTCCAGGACTCGAATCCTCATCGGCCAAGTGGGAGTACCCAGTGCCCTAACCACTGTGCCACCTGCTGGCCCCCCATTTGTTCTGTCTTTTCAAGCTCTACTTGCCACAGCAGTTTTTCAGATGTTGTCAGTTTGTCCTTCACAATTCTGGGGAAGACCAGTCACATACTGTAGCATGGGTCTGCTGAAATTTGCTCAATGTTCTCTAACGACTGGATGGCCAAGATTTTACCAGAATAAAATAGCATCTCATAGTTTCACTCATCATCCCAATGGCTAGTTCTCAGAGATTTCCACTTACAGCATGTTATTTAAGAGAGGTGTTTATTCTGTGATTATTAGTCTGAGTCAGATGGTCTTGATACAGTTCAATAGTTATCTTAAACCTAAAGCCATGCAAAGAAAAGCCTGATTTTTAAGTCGCAAACTCCTTATTTTTATTACTTCATATTAAAATATTTGTACAAGACAATACAAAGTAAAATGTATCATGCATATTTCATGGTTTTAGATAGTATATATTTCATTTTGCTAATTTCAAAATCTTAACATTAACAATATAAAAATGGTCATTTACATTTTCTTTTAGTGTGGTAAAAAAATATACATAATCTCACATCTAACACTATGATAATTTTTGTTTTATGTTGTCTAATTCAAGAGCATTCAGTACAAGGGAAGGTCTTCAAAAATTCGTGGGAAATGTGCATTTTGAAAAAACTATCTATGAGTTTTTTTAAGAAAAACACGGCACCCAATCAACTTGTACTTTCATTCCATTTCTCCACAGACATTTTGAGCTCTTGTATGTTCACATGTTGACACTCATCAACAGAATCCAGTCACAGGATTTGTCATCGTCCTGCACCCACGTGTCATGATGTCACCATGTCCCCCTTTCCACAGCCAGCATGATCTTCCAGTCTACTTTCAGTCGTTACGAAGTTTGCCAGTTTTAGGAATTTCATATAAGTGGGGTCATTCAACATAGTCAGCATGTCTTTTTGTATCTGGCTTGGTTTTCGTTGTTGTTTTTGCATAATGTTTCAAGTCCCATCGCCTGTAGCTTGTATCAGAGCGTCATTTCCTGTAAGGCTTGGTAATATTCCATTGTGTGACTGTGCCAATTTTGTTGAGCCATTCATTACTGACGGACATCTGAGTTGATCTCACTGTTGTCACTTGTGAGTAAACTCCATGGGGCCGGCTCTGTTGACCTAGTGGTTAAAGAAGCTGGATCCAGTGTGGCTAACCCTGCAGTTTGAATTCTGATCCCAAAGGCCTGAAAAATTCCAACGTGTGTCCATGCCTAAAATTTCAACAGAGTGGAAAGTTGCAAAGTGACTGTGCCATGGCCACACTCCATTGAGGGCTGCTTTATCTCTCTCTCTCTCTATCTCTGTCTGTCTCTCTCTGGCGAGAACGCATGCCCTCATTTTTTTAAAAAAATGAAAATACTCCTATGAACAATGGTATACATTATTTGAATCCCTGCTTTCAGTTCTTTGGGGTTCACAGCTAGAAGAGGAATGGTTAGATGTTATGGAAATCCATATTGAACATTTTGAGGAACCACTACTTGTTTTCCAAAGTGGCTACTCTATTTTATATTCCCTCCAGCAATGTAGAGGAAAGGGTTTCAAGTCTTCCACATCCTTATTAATGTTTGTCTTTTTCTT